ATGATATTCAAATGTATTTACCTAAGATTGTTGGTAGATTGGAAGATTGAAAGTAATATGAATATGAAGGATAAATCCAATTTATAGAATTGAAAGTCTTATGTACTATTTACATGTGAACTTCTTCAACTATTTACGATAAAAAAAAAATTTACTATTGTCATGTGATCCTCTTTAACTTTGTGTGTGTGTGTGTGTGTGTGTGTGTGTGTATATATATCATTTTGTTTTTTAAAAAAAATTCAATATTTTTTCTCCTTTAATTTTTTATTTAAAAAAATTAATTATTTGAATTCAAATATTATTTAAATTTAAATTCAATCTAATATCTTTTTTTAGAAAGAAAATATATTTATTACTTTACTTATTTTTAATTTTTCTAAAATAATGTATATTTTCTTATAAGTTATATACATAAATTTTAAAAAATATTATAATTTTTTTATATATATAAAATCGTTGTTTAAATATTTTTAAATTGTTTTTTTATTTAAAAAATTGCTTATTGCGGTGATTTAATAAAAAAAAATTTAAAATAAATCGCTGCCAGTTCAGCGATTTATAAAAAAATTGATATAAATCGCTGCCACTGTAGCGATTTACAAAAAAAAAAAATTATAAATCGCTGCACTGGCAGCGATTTATACCAAAATTTTTTTTTTTTTTTTATAAATCGCTGAATTTTTTATTTTTTTTTAAATCGCTGCACTGGCAGCGATTTTTAAAAAAAAATTTTAAAAAATCGCTGCTAGTGCAGCGATATACCTTATTTTTTTAAAAAAAAAAAGAAAATTAAAAAATAATATGAAATCGCTGCCATGGCAGCGATTTTAAGAAGAAAAATTTTGAAATCGCTGCTTGGGCAGTGATTTCATTTTTTTATTAAAAAAATTCGCAAAATCGCTGCCTCAGCAGCGATTTTACTTTTCCAGGTGAAGTAAATTGCTGCACCGGCAGCGATTTTACCGTTCAGAGGGAGTATTAAAGAGAAAACCCTTGATAATAGAGAGACAAGGCTCTCAATACGCACATTTTTCGTCAATTTGTTTTCATTTTTATACTCAGTCAATTAATAGTAATTTGAAAATCAGATTTTCTGTTTTTTCGTATTCAAACGATTCTCACTCCCTCAATTTTTTTGTGATTGTCGTCATTCATGACTAATTCCAAAATATTTTTGGTTCAAAAATCTTTATTTTATGGTAATGGACGGATTCTTAGCGATATTAATAAAATATGTTGATAAATGGGATCCTTCTGGTTAATATTTATTGTGATTTATTATTTGTATTCTTATTCCAACTTCAGTTTAAAAAGTTTAAGAATAATAAAATTGAAAATGATTTTCTAATTTTGATTGCGTATAATAGATTTAAATTGTTGTTTTTTTTGTATGAATCTTTGGTTTTTTTTATATTACAAAATAATTTCTGTGAAAATTGTATAATTGATGTTATGAGTTTTTTGTAAACTGATTTTTATAACTTGTATACTGTAAACACAATGAATGTTGTGATTCTGTATTTGTATTTGAATAATTTGATTATATTTTTCAGTGGACTGTATGAAATAGTGATGATGATATCGTTATAAATTTATGAAATGTGTAAAAAAAATGTATGAAATGTGTTCTATAGTATAAATTTTGGTAGACTGTTTGGAATGATATTGGTATGAATAAGTAGTGACGAGTGTCAATAAACTTGAGTGACAAGAATGAAGTTGTGGATGAAATTTTTATTAGGTTTGGTATACCATTTGAACATAAATACAACATATTTATTATTCCTTTGTATTATGTACAACAAATTGTTTTTTTTTCATGAAATGTGTTTTATGGTATGAATTCTGGTAGACTGTTTGGAATGATATTGGTATGATTAAGTAATGATTAATTTATATAAATTTGTATGAGAAAAATAAAGTTATGGATGAAAATTTTAGTATTGATATGAAAAGTAAATGTAAATACAACATACTTATTATTCCTTTGTATAATGTTGAAGGGTTAGCAAGGAGGTTGCCAGTGATTTCACGTCTTGAATTAGGAGGATAACAGTTCAAACATGGATTCATAAGCACAACAAGGAGGCTGCAAAAACTATATCACAAGTATCCCCTCAACCTATGTCCGAAATCCCAGAGACACACTTATACTATACTAAGGTCCTATTACCCCCTGAACTTATTTTATAAGTAATTTTCTACCCCTTTTTAGCTTACGTGGCACTAGTTTGAAAAAAAAGTCAACCATGGTTGGCCCACAAGATAGTGCCACGTAGGCTAAAAAGGGGCAAAAGATTATTAATAAAATAAGTTCAGGGGGGTAATAGGACCTTAGTATAGTATAAGTGTGTCTCTGAGATTTCGGGCATAGATTGAGGGGGTACTTGGGCATTATCCCATTATTTTGTATTGAAATAAATTCAGTCTTGTAGAGTTGAGTTGATCCAGGTAAATTCTTAAGATTTTCTTTTCAAGCCTATGTTAGTATTGTTTAGCACTCCAACTCGCATACTCGTACATTCAATGTACAGATGCCAGTTGGCCAGCATCGTGTCATAATCCAGACGCAGGCAACGAGGATCGGCATCCAACGTACCATTGATATAGTTGAGCAATCTAAAGTCAGTTGTGAACCTTTTTGCATTCCAGAGGACTCCTTTTACTTTGTTTCATTGTTAGGTTGATCAATGGTCTCGTCCCAACATCCTTCTTTGTTTTAGAGGCTTCAACAGACAGTTGGTAGTTCAGTTGTATTTACATTATCATTTCATGTGTTAAGACTTGAGTTGTCATTTTGGACAATTTGAATGTTGACTTTTAAATATTTGAAGTTATTTTATCTTTCAAGTTGAGTATAGTTCAATTGACCATTATATGTATGCATACAGTCTTCCGCTGAGTAAGTAAGCAAGGTAGGGTTTGCTTGGGGCCAGCAGTAGTTCTCGATTGTCGGTTATGTCTAGGGTGTAGGCTCGGAGCGTGACATTACCTGCAAGACAGAGTTCAGAGAAAAGAAGAAAGATTTAAAAAATGAAAGAATTTGATAGTCATTTCGTAGAGTTAATTAAAATAAAATGTAGGCTACATTTAATAATAAATATTATTTTATTTATTATTAAGGGATCATATCAAGTATTGAATTCTACCAAATTATTTTTTTCAAAAATTTGCTTAGATGTTTTACTTCTAATTGTTTTGAGTTTACTTTTTAGACAGTTGAGTAAAGTTATTTTTTAAAGGGAAAATGCACAAGTACCCGCTCAATCCATATCTGAAATTTTAGAGACACTTATGCTATACAAAGGTCTTATTACCCCCCTGAATTTATTTTATAAGTAATTCTCTACCCCTGAAGTTTATATTTGTATGTTATAGCAAAGTTTGCATAATTGCGCTCTATAACAAACATAAATATGTATAATTCTCCATACATATACAAAAAAATCAACTATATAATTCGCTATACATATACAAAAGAAAGCGATTGTATACAAATTGTTTGTATAATTGTGTATGTATAAAACGGGAAAGAGAGAAAGACAAGAAAATTGGCAGGGAAATATTTGTATTGTATAGTAAGTGTATATGACGAAGATATATGTATTTGCAAGTGCATATACAATTTTCTCTCACTTTATACAAATAGAAACACAATTTATACATTTCATTTTTGTTTGTATAAGCGATAGAGGCGAGGATGGCGAGCGAGATCTGGGAGAATGGTGAGCAAGATCAAGGAGAGTGGCGAGTGAGATCTGGGGGAGGAGAGAGAGGGGAACGAAAATATATGTAGATATATAATTTTTTCTCGCTTTATACAAGCAGAAACTACACTG